TCCTTAAGCGATCCCGATCGTAAAGACGCCTTACGATCTTCTGCTTCACTACGAGCTTTGTACCAGGAATTGGTTAGACCAGGGACTGGTGTAACGTTTTCTCAACATCGGTACAGATTACGATGTTATGTGGACGTTGTGCTCGGTACTGATATTGTTCATTGGCTTATTGAACGGCAGAAAGCTGGTAATAGGTATGTAACCAAAACATTTGATAAAGGGTATTTGATTAATGTACTTGTATGAAAAAAAAGTGCGCGTAAGGTTCACACGCGATTGAATTAAAACTTATTTGCTACTGTACGAGATGCCATTTTTAAGTCAAAATAAATACATCATATAAAAATTTTGAATAATGTTTATTAGTAATATGGTACACACTCGTAATGCACACATTTATTAATGTCAACCATTATACGCATTTATTTGATGATAAATTATAAATTATATATTTATAATAGCATTAAAAATATGTATAATATTTAGAAACAATGATGTAATTAAAGTCATATTCCAAATGCGACATGATCGGTTTGTCACTGTAATTAGCATTTAGAAATGAATCTTCATTAGAGAAATGAAGTGATTGCTGATTAATAAATTCTATAATAGTGGTTTATGTTAAACAGCGCCTAAAGAAATATTGTTTTCGCAACTTCACTTATCATGTAATAATTGTGTTTGAAGAACTTCATGTAATTCAAATTAACATACATTCATTGACTGCTTGTATTTTTATTTACTTTTTCGCTGGCAATACAGTATCATTCTTTGAGCAGCTGTAGTATGTGTCTTGCCTATAAAAATATATAGTAATCACGAATAATACAAATTACTTCAATAAACTTACGTTTTTTACACGGCACAGATCTTTCATTTGTTTTATTATTTTCACTACACAATCAAAGCAATCATACTCACGCGACACGACGACCAATCATAATCGACCCGTATAGAAATGATATCATCGAGAGCGAATGACGAATCATTGACGCTCGACTCGGCCGTAACGCATTTTCGTTGCATTTTCACAGATTTACTCCCTAGTCGCGCCTAAAGAAGTTTTACTTGAAAAAACAATAAGAAAAATTGTCAATTCAAAGTTTATTGAAGATTTGGTTTTCTTGAAGTGCTTATTTTATTTTGATAAATCGTATTTTCTTCATTTTGACTCTTAATGTCTTAGTAGTCTCGAATATATCAAAAAGCTATACCTATAGTGTTTATTCCATGATTTGTTTACAGTTTTGATACTATCAATGGCTCAAAAACTAACCTCCAAATAGCACAGTTGTGAAAATAACATTAGTTCAACTTTATGCATATTCAACTTTCCGTAGGGCAAGTTATAGTAACCGCAAAAAATCGAAACTGAAATTGTTTATTTATTTTTACGTTTCAAGCGTTTCTGAACACTTTGGCATACCTTACAAACAATTGATGTGTGTGTGTATGTATGTGCACAATACATACAATTTTTCGTCGACGATTTCGAGAACACAGATCAATCGATTTGTATGATTTGATTTTGAAAAAATTCCGCATTCAAAATATTCTATTCCTATTGATAAAGAGACGTGCTCATTAGGTTTTAGCAGTAGTTTACGTTTCAATGCCTTCTGAACATGTGGCATAAATAACTTAGAAAAATAGATGTGTTTGTGTAGCATGTATGTATCTTCGACTAGGATTTCGTAAGAATTCAAGTAACATTTGATTCGTATTGACGGCATAAAGTACTAATTAATAGAATTTGGGCAAAGCAGGTCTAGCCGTTTCGGAGATACGAAGTAAAAGTGAAAATAAATGATCTTGCAGTTCACAACTTTTTAAAAAGTTCCAAAATATTTACATCTTTAACTTCCCATAGGATAAGTTATTGTAATCGACCAAAAATCGAAAATGAAAATTTTTACGTATCTTCACGTTTCAAAGTTACTGAACATTTTGGCATACCTTAGAAAAATTGATGTATATGTGTGTTGCGGATTATTATCACGCTCCAACTTCCATACAATATGCTACTGAAACATACTGAATACTGTCAAAATGTAATGTATTTGCTGTGCATTCAGGCGTTTTACACATAAACTGCAACGTCACTTTTATGTTATGAAGCTGAGTCAGAAAGACCATGTTATCTAACATCGTTTTTTTTAAACATTTGTGCGGTTTCTACGTTTGGTTTTCTATGTGACAACTTGAGAAATACGCCTGACTGTACAGCAACCAAATAGATTTTTTCAATATTTAGTATGGAAAGTTCTCACTTTATTATTAATTTTTTTAAATTTAATGAACTAATTAGTTAACTGATCAATGGAACAGTTTTCTATTCTATTATTATATTTATTTTTATTATTTTTTTTTATAATTTTCATGATTATTATTTCTATTTATTTGTTATTATTATTATAGTGAGTTATTTATTTTTAGTTATTTATTATTAATATTTATATTATTATTATTATTTTTTTTCCCTTTACTTACATTATAGAATTTATTTAGATCATGTTCTCACTGTAGCTCATAGAATTACTTACTTTATTCTGATTGTCACATATAGATTTAAAAAAAAAAATATTTTTTAGAAATCAAGCTCATGCGATTTGTCAAGCTTTGTTGGATGCTGAATATATGGAATGTCCGACGGATGAAAATTCTACTGAATTTCTAGAACATTTACTTTACCAAGCGAAATTTAAAGAAACAACTGCGGAATCAACTGTTCAAACTCAAACTGGTAATTTTTTAAACAAAATGTGTTACCATCTGCTCATTTGTTTTATTTGTTAATTTTATTGTTATACATACATTTATGGATAATTTTATCAGCTTTTCAATTATGTATAACAGTATATATATGTTTGAACAAATTATGCGAAAAGTTGATCAAAATATAAAAAAATGTAACCAGAAAACTCGCGGTCCTATTTTTCACAATTTGATATTCATTTCATTCTTTATTTATTTCATTTATCCATTTAATTCTTATCATATTCCAGGTAGGGAAATCTTCCTCTATCGACTTCAACTTTTTGTTTGGACTTAGACGTGCAAGGGCATTCAGTTTATTTATCAAGACCTTCAGCAAATACAACAGATTACGTAAGCGATTTGGAAAGTCCAGATGTGGCCCAAGTACCAATTGTCCCGGCAGATCGTTCTTCAGTTGGGTCAATTTCAACAAATCCGGGTTTACCGGAAAAATCTCAAAGCACCGAAACCGAAATCGCCTTATGGCAATCTTACAAAAGGCACGAGGATGCTCTTTTGGCACAACTTTTGGGCGCGGCTCGCCTGTCCTACGACCAATGGGCCGAAACGGTGAAACGATTGTGCGATGAAATTGTTGAAACCATTCGACCAGGTAGGAAAAGAAATTAAAACTTATAATGTATTTGATGGAAAAAGGGTGTAACTTCTGAATTTTTTTGTACTGTGCTCCAATTTGCATGAAATTTTGGAAATCGGAGAAAATTACTCTTTAGTTCAGAAGTTAAAACAATTTGCACACCGCCTGGTGGGGAGAGGGTTAATCCCACCGATATCTGCCACAGCCATTTTATTGCTAGAAAACGTGTTTAAAATTTTGAAGTATTTTCTAATATATTATTTAGCTTAAAATAAAACTAGTGGTGTATGGCATCGTGCCTTAAGGCAAATTGCTGGAACTTTCCGTACCGTAATGAAATATACGAGAAATTTTAAACGCTTTCAAATATATTATTACAAACAGTGTAACTTTCGTTATTTTTGCTATCTTCTTATATCTGAGCAAATATAAATCATAAATTATAAATCAATTTATCTCCAGAACATTAACAATAGTCATTTCATTTCGAATTCAATTTTAAAAAAAAAGTTGCCTAATTTGCACAAAACTGAAAAAGTGCTTCCGTAAAGTTACAGTCTAAACACATTTGCAAATAATTCTGTGCGACATTTTCACTTATACTGTGCTTAGCTTGGCGGCATTTTCACATTTTTGAATATTTTTACAAAATTGGAAAAGTGCTTCAGTCTAAACGCACCTGGGTATACATTTGTACCAGAGAATATCTGAAATAATACAAAAGAATTGGATAAAGAAAGGGATAGAGATAGACAAATTGAAAGGGAGCGTAGAAAAGTGTAGAAAATTAATAAAGACAATAAAATATGAAATATGAACAGAAAGAGAGAGTATAGAAAAATATTAGAGGTAATAGAGAGCAGAAGATAGAGATACTAAAAAAATAGATATAATATTTTTTTATTTGCATGATAGCTCACTCATTTTACACGCAGAAGACCCTTAACATTACTCATTTTAAAGCTTATTTTGAGCACTATAAAACCTCATGGCAATATATAAAATGTAACACCTCGCCGCTAGATGTCTTTAAATACAACTATTAAATTTTGAACAAAATAAAAATTAATATTGTTCCTAGAACACTTTATAAAACACTAATTTATTAAGATTTTTATGGTCATAATTTCGTTCATTACTTGATTTTTGCTAAAATGTATATTTCTGGAGATATTTTCAAAAAACGTAGGAAAACGCCAAAAACGAATTTTTAGTAGCTAGTTACTTGAAAAGTATTTGTTTTTTTTTTAAAAACTTTATAAAACATTTTTTTCTTGTAATTATTTCTTCTATCAATATCCGATTTTATTTTTTGAGAAAATAAAAAATTACACCACTGAGAAGGGGTGTCAGTACAAATTGTGTTCACTTTTGAATTTAAGATTAAGATGAACCTAATTCTAAAATGTTTTGCAAATTGGGGCACAGTAAAAAAATTTAGACTGGTGGAATATAGGAGTTTTAGCATTATACTGTTCTTCCATACTAAAACCACTTTATAATTTTTCTGAAGTTCACTTCTGAACTTAGAGTAAGATGAACCTAGTTCCAAAATTTTATGCAAATTGGAGCACAGTAAAAAAATCCTAACCCGAAACGCTCCATTGACCGGAATATTACAACCTCCTGTTTTGTTTTTTTGTAGAGGAATCTGAAGATTTCGAAGAGACTCAAGATATTCGCCAATACGTGCAATTCAAGAAAGTTCCTGGAGGTGCCAAAAGTGATTGCGAGATTGTCAGCGGCGTTGCTTGCAGCAAAAATGCTTCTCACCGGGAAATGCGATCGAGAATTCGTGACCCCAAAATTTTACTTCTGCAATGCGCAATTGTATACCAACGAGTCGAAGGCAGATTTTTTTCCTTGGAACCTGTTATGAGACAAGTAAGTTGTAAAGTTCATACCTAAACCATTGCAAGATATCTGTACTTTATGTGTTACGTAGTTATAAAATTTATTGAAACTCTCCTTCGATAATTCAGGTTGTTGGGTTATAATTTAACCCTTGTAGCTGTGGACTGTATTAAACACTGATTCGTTTGTATATTATGTATTTGTTGCAGTTCTAATTACAATCACTGATTTGTTACTAAGTTTTAATGAAAGAAGATATATTTATTTTTGAAGTAAAACTTCTTTAGGCGCGACATGGGTGTAAATCCGTACAAATGTAACGGAAATTGTTACGCCCAGCTGAGATGACTCGCGCTTACGACGCTACTTAGCGCAGTTATCGCAATTATTCGATCTAGTCTGCGAGCAAAACAAAAAATACATCAAATGTCAAAGACAAAACAAAATGTGTCGACTTTCACTTGAGTTTTGTATTTAGCTCGTAGTCTCTAAACATTTTTTGAAGTAAAACTTCTTTAGGCGCGACATGGGTTAGCAGTATAATTCGTGAGTTAATGAAAATGTCAGGATCGGAAGAATATTTTATCCCGTCCCCCATAAGTAATTGTAGTGCAAATGATCGCAAATAAATAATGAAACTAAGGAAAAATCTGCGCTGCGTAAGAAATGTAAGTTTATTGAAGTAATTTGCATTATTCGAGTTTTTCGGGGTTACCATATACCTTTGAGGTTATTACTAAAATGGAAAATTTTATTTTTATTTTTATAAGCAAGACAGATACTACAGTTGCTCAAAGAATGAAACTGTATCGCCAGACAGTTACTGTCAATTTATTAGAAAATATTGAGCCAGGTATCATTTTAGATGTTAATGAGTAAGAATCTTTTTGGCTCCTAAAAAACGCTTCAACTATTTACATTTAAACATATTATTATGTTATCTTTTTAGATGAAAGTACTGCCGTTACTTTTTCTGATACCAAACTATCTACCTAAACTAAATACTGAATCTGAAAGGTTAATTTCACCTAGGTTGTGTTTCATGCAAATTAGACGATTGCGACATGCAAATGGACAATTTGGAATGTTTGGCCAAATTATAAATGTGCCTGTTGACGTTAATAATATGGTTAATTTATTACCTCGTAATATTGATGATGATCATTGCATTAACGTTCACATAAAAAAGCAAATGATTCATAGATCAAGCTATGTGCAGGGCTTGATAAATAAAACAAATATAAAAGTATGACTTCAATTTTTGAAGCAAGACAGATATTACAGCTGTTCAAGGAATGAGATTATACAGTCAACGAAAATGAAAATGACTGTATGTTAATTTTAATGACATAAAGTTCTTCAAACACAATTGTTACAGGATGAGTTAATTTGCAAAAACAATATTTGTTTAGGCATTGTTTAATAATAAAATCCACTGTGTGAATGAATATTATAGAATTTATTAATCAGCAATTACTTTAAAACGATCATGTCATATTTCAAGTACGACCTTGATTACATTATTGTTTGTAAATATTATACATATTTTTAATGCAATCCTAAATATATAATTTATAATTTATCATTATATAAATGTGTATAATGGTTGACAGTGACACTAATAAATGTGTGCAGCACGAGCGTTACCATATTACTAATGAACATTATTCAAAATTTTTATATGATGTATTTATTTTTACTCAACTTAAATTTGCTACAATATAATTGCAAATAAGTTTTACTTCAATCGCGCACTCTTTTTTTATAATCTCTGTATCTTTTATAATCTGTATCTTTTACCCCCAGGAGAATGATTACATCGCAAACGTGACGGCCAGAGTTCTGGCCCTTCAACCCGATGTCGTCCTGGTCCAGAGGAGTGTTTCCCGTTTGGCGCAGGAATTGTTACGTGCAGGAGGAGTCACCATGGCACTCGGAGTGCGAGTTTCGGTTTTGGAAAGGGTTGCCAGATGCACAGGAGCTGATATCGTCACTTCGGTTGATACGCATTTTGGACAACCGCGACTGGGGACTTGCTCCGAGTTTAGCATACAGTGTTTCGATGTTGGAAAAAGTAAGTTAATAATAGAAGAAATAGTTGAATTTGATTTTTTTGGTAATTTTGAAATATTGAAATTTTGAAATTATTTGAAAGTTTGAAGTTTTTTGGAATTCTTGGTAAGCATTGTTTTTTTTTTAATTTATTGAGAATTTGGAAATGTTTGAAAATATTCGATTTTTTTTTGAAAATTTAGGAATAATCTCAAATCTTTTGAGATCTTTCAAAATTTAGATTTTTTTTCAAATGAAAACTTTCGAAAATTAGATTTTTTTAAAACTTGAATTTTTTTCGAAAATTTTGGATTTTTTATGAGATTTTCAAAATTTAGATTTTTTTTGAAAATGACTAAAAATTTTGGAAATTTGAATTTTTTGAAAATTTTCAAAATTACGAAATTTTTTGTAAAGGCATTTTTTGCACACTGTCTTCACAAGCTGCATGTTTTTGAGTTAATCTAATCGGATGATTCGTTTCCTCAAAAACTGCATGTTTACAAGAAATTAGTTTAATTAATTAGACAATTTCGACTTTTTTTTGAAATTTTGACAATGATTTACAATATCGAAATTTTTTGGAATTTTTGAAGAAAAATCGATTTTTCTTTAAATTTTTTGAGAATTTGGAAATTTTTCAAAATATTCGATTTTTTTTTTGAAAATTTAGAAATATTCTCAAATTTTTTGAAAATTTAAAAATTTAGATTTTTTTTTTTCAAAATGATGATAAATGTCGAAAATTTGAATTTTTTAAAACTTTATTTTTTTGAAAATTTCTCTCAAAAACTGCATGTTTTCAAGGAATTTGTTAATTTTTTTAAATTAGTTTTTTTTATTAATAAGATCCAAAACAATTTTATTGATAATTAAAAATTTCGAAATTTTTTGATATTTGACGATTTTTTTTAATTTTTGAGAATTTTTTGGAAATTTTTGAAAATTTTGAAGTATACTCAAATTTTTTGTATTTATTTATTTATTTATTCATTAATTTTACAAGCCGTCAGTATAATAATATTATAATAAGGCTTAAGTCATTATTTTATAGGTTTAATATAATTTAATTAATTATTAGCTATTTTATTACTTATTTATTTATTATTTAAATTATTAACTATAGACTTATTTATATTTAGTTAATTTTAATTATTTATAAATATAACTAGTTTGTTTGTTGCAAGTATTTTTTAAAAATTTAATGAATATTTCAATAAGCTTTACAATACTTTAACAATATAATTATTTTATTTTAATTTTTTTATTGTAATTTTTCAACATTTAGATTTTTTTAGATGATGAAAAATTTCGAAGATTTGAATTTTTTTAAACTTAATTTTTTTTTGAAATTTTTAAATTTTAAAATTTCACACAAATCGGTTATTCCATACTGTCGAAAATGCCAAGGGCATTCGTTTAAACTTTAAACCATATAAATAAACTTCAAAATTAAAAATCTTGGTACGGAACCCAAAAAATTGACACAAGATGTGTACACAATATTAAAATCTCTATAAAATATCTGATCATTTTTTGGGCATATGTTTAAAGAACATTTTTGACCGCAAAATGGAGTATGTATCCGCGTACACACACACATCAATTTTTTCTAAAATATGCCAAAATGTTCAGAAAGTTTTGAAACGTAAAGATATGCAAAATTTTCATTTCCGATTTTTTGCGATTACTATAACTTACCCTACGTGAAATTAATTATGTTTTAATTCATAATTGTGTTTTATGTTTCAGGAACTTCAAAGTCCCTAATGTTTTTTGAGAATTGTGCGAAGCCTCATCTAGGTTGCACAGTTTTATTAAGAGGTGCTGATAAAAGGGAGCTGGCCAGATTAAAAAGTGTTATGCATTTAATGCTGTTGGCACGTTACAATTGGAAATTGGAATTGGCCTATTTGCTGGACGAAAGGGCCAAACCTCCAGGGCCGAAGAGGAGCTTGTTTGATACTAAGGAAAACTCACCGGATGGCGAAGAAGAAGGTTAGTAAAAATTTACAAAATCAATGAACCGATTTTGCCGTATAACAGACAAATGTTATGGCAAGGTCATGTTATGAAGAACTTTTCATACGAGTTCAAAGAAAGTGATCTCAGCTGCTTCAGAAATTATAATCTCAAAATTTAGATTTTTTTTTCATAACTTTTCATATAGTGACATACTAAGACTAAATGCTAAAGAGGATTTTTTTGAATGATCCTTAATTACTTCAGATATTTGTCATATATGTCCATTAGAGATGATTAAATTTGAATTATTTTCTAGATCTTATTTTTATTAGACCAACAAAATGCATAAGTATCTGTAAATAATTAAGCGATCATTTTCATTAGTGGATGTTTTTAGTATAATAGTGTACACATGAAATCAAATATATTCTCTGGGTTAAATTCCATCTTAATTATGTAATTCATATTTATAAGATAATATACTAAATATTGACATAAGCCATGCGGTTGCTATGCAGTCAAATGCATTTCTCAGGTAATCATATAGAAAACCTAACCTAGAAACCGCACAAATGTCGAACAAACGATGTTAGATAACAGGGTCTTTCTGACTCAGCTTCATAACATACGAGTGACGTTGCAGTTTATGTGTAAAACGCACAGCAAATACATGGCATTTTGACAGTATTCAGTTGGATTCAGGAGCATAACGTATGGAAGTTGGAGCGTAACATGGCCTTGCCATAACAATTGTCAGTTATGTGGCAGAATCGGTCTTATAAAAATATTTTTGATTGGATTGAACGGATACATTATTTCATTTCGATAACATTACATGAAAATCGTTTTAGAACTATACGATTAAAATGAGATTTTTTTAAAATTCTGGTAGCCATAATAGAGAAAGATATTTCAATGAAACTTAATTTTAAAAATGTAAAAAAGTTATAATATGCATGATAGTAGTATTGGACACCTGTACTTAAATTTAACAACAAATACTGATATAAAAGTAATGTTTACATAATTTAACCCTTTCCACTCGCCAGAATTAACACGGAATTTGCTCCGGCGACATCCGAGTGGCAAGGGTTAAATAAGGATTTGTACATTTTTACATAGACTCACAGAGAATTTTCGCTATGAGGAATATTGTTTACATAATTTAACCCTTTCGACTCGCTAAATCCAGAATTAACACGTATTTTGCTCCGGCGGCATCCGAGTGGCAAGGGTTAAATTACGATTTGTACATTTTTAAATATACTCACAGATAATTTACGCTATAAAGAATATTATGTATTATAACCCAAAAAGTCATCTGACCATCAAAGTCAAATGATAGTCAAATCTAAGAGCATTTTGTAACTATGAATAATAAAATACAAACTTACGTTTCTTAAACAGCACATTTGTAGATGTTCGATTTGTTTTTCATTATAATTATTAACGAGTGCCGATATATTATGGTTTAATCTAGATTTCAACGACATAACCTCAAACATTAGTTAGTTGAATTTTGCCACATGATTGCGAGAATAGATTCAAAGATATCACGTGACAAGATGATCTCGATCAATCGCATCAACTCGTTTCGAATCGACCATATCGTTGGCCAATGATGAATCAGTATTTGTGGTGTTACGCACTTCCGTTGCATTTTCGCTGAGTTACTCCCTTGTCGCGCCTTGAGAAGTTTTACTTCAAACAAAACATAAGATACCACGTGACCAATCATATCAACTAGTTTCGAATCTACCACATCGTTGGCCAATGACGAATTAGTATTCGTGGCGTAACGCACTTCCTTTGTATTTTCGATGAGTTACTCCCTAGTTGCTCCCAGAAAACTCTGACTTTAAATTAAAATATAAAATACCACGTGACCAATCATATCAACTCGTTTCGAATCGATCACAACGATAGCTGATGACGAATCAGTATTCGCGGCGTAACGCACTTCCGTTGCATTTTCGCTGAGCTACTCCCTAGATGCGCCCAGAAAAGTTTTACTTTAAAATTAAAATATAAGATACCGCGTGACCAATCACATCAATTCTTTTCGAATCGACTACATCGTTGGTCAATGATGAATCAGTATTTGTGCCGTAACGCACTTCCGCTGCATTTTCGCTGAGTAACACCCTCGTCTCGCTTAAAGATATTTTAATACAAAAATTTTTGCATCTGGCTCAAAAATAACGAAACTACTTATAAAACAATTTGATAACGTACATATTAAAATTATATTTAAGAATAGTAAACTACATAACAGTGCTCGAAACCTAAAAAAACTAACAACGATGATAATTAAACCGTTTGTCTCCTGATAGCGACGTCGCCCGATTTAGTACAATTGCTGTTACTCATCTTTTGCCCTGTACTTTATAATAGTAACATTAGAAATTACTATATTTTGTTTTTGAGATAAAGATGATGAATTTTTTACCAGCCACTCTCTACCATATCCAATATTTATGAGAGACTTGTTTCGTATAGGCATGAATGCTATAGCATTCAAATTTTAAAGTCAATTATTTTGAATTTAATTTTTAACCGTACGTTCTTAACAGATTCTTTAGATAATTTTGTATTATCTGATGTTTTCATTCGGGCAATCAAATTGGGTGAAATCAAAGCGTTAAACTTGACGTGGATGCTATAGCATTCATCGTAATTTAACGTTTAAAATATAATTATCTAGTGAATTTCTTTATAATCGGTATCAAAGAATGAGGCACCACGTGGAGAGACTAAAAGTCGGACTTTTCTAGAGAATTATGGAAGTGTAATGCTTGACGTGGATGGTATAGCATTCATCGTAATATAACGTTTAATATATAATTATCTTTATAATCGGTGTCAAAGAAAGGGACACCAAGTGGAGAGACCAAAAGTGTACTTTTCTAGGGAATTATGAAAGCGTAATACTTGACGTGGATGCTATAGCATTCATCGTAATATAACGTTTAATATATAATTGTCTAATGAATTTCTTTATAATCATCACGTGGAGAGACTAAAAGTGGAACTTTTCTAGGAAACTATGAAAATAATACTTTAAAAATGAGATTTTTTAAAGAAAATACACGTAAAACATCTTTAAAATAAAAGAGGAACTAGAAAGAAAATATAGATAAGTTAAAATAAACTTCTTCTAACAAAAATATAGGAAAAATGAGATAATGAACTTTTCTGGAGAAATATTTTAAAAGTGGGACTTTCCTAGAGAATTATAGGAAAAATAATCTAAAAATGAGATTTTTCTAGGACAATGTAGGAAAAACAGCTGTAATATCTGTCTTGCCTAAAAAATATTTTCCATTTTAATAACTTCAAACATTTATAGAAACAACGAATAATATAGAAATAGTTTCTAATCAATAAACTTACGTTCAGTACACGGCAAAAATATTTATTTTGTTTTATTATTTTCAAGGAACAGGGTAAAATATTCTTTCGAATCAGGCATTTTTCATTAAATCAAGATTTGTACTATGATGTAACTTTAAAATGTTTATTTATCTATGCCGATTTCCTTGTTGTTATCGGAACACATACAAAGTTGATGCCGGTACGCATACAACGACAGATCTCCATTCACACGAAACGACGACTAATCACAATCGACCCGTATAGAAATGATATCATCGAATCATTAGCACTCGACTCTTATCATATCTTATCTCCCGTAACGCACTTCCGTTGCATTTGTACGGATTTACTATCTAGTCGCGCCTAAATAAGTTTTACCTTAAAAATTATCTTGTTTACGGCGTTGAGATATCTTTCACATTTTATGTTTATTTTTTTTTAGATGACCAGACTATTGAAGAAGAACTGGATTTAGTCACTCTACGCAAACCTAACAATGAAGTTAAAAGCCAAAATAGTAAATCATCAATCGGTGAAACCAAAAATAATTCCGTCACAGAAAAAAATATGACAAAATCTTCGAAGAGCGAATTGCAATCCGATGGGCAAAGTGTTTCAAAACCAACCAGTAAAATTAAGAATGTCTCTAACCACAACGATGATACTAAGACATCTTCATCAGACGACAATAAAATAGTCAACAAACGTGCCTCAAATAATATCGGCGACTCGATAACAAGCGGCAGCAACTTGCTGGTGGAACGTGTCAGCGATTTTAGTGACCCTTTACGAAGTGCTATGGAAGACGATGAAGTTTTCGAAACTCGTGTCAGAAAAGATAGTGTGCACACCATGTCTGAGCAACAACCTTTTGATAACAGGTAACACGATAAAAAACATATATCTTATATATAAAAATGGAGCTCTCGATCAAATGGTTCGGTAAAACTCGAAAACGGCTGAACCGATTTGGCCAGTCTTAGTCTTGAAAAATTCGTGCTAATCAGTAGGTTGTCGGAAACGTGAGATATTATTTCAAAATCGCCTAGAAACTTTACATTTTTAATTTGAACGTTTTTGTAGAAGCGTAATTTAAATAAAACAATAGACGGTGGCTAATACATCAAATGTCAAACGTTTTTGACAGATGATGTTCAATTACGTTTATTAGGATGTTTTACGTAAATATTATTTAATTATGATTAAATTGTAGTAAGTAGTTTTGTTTGTAGTTTTATTTATATACAAAAACATTAGTAAATGGGCCGCAGGTGTCACTAGAGACTCAAAATATCAACTTTTTTGAAATGTCAATATGAAAATGCACTTTTTGGCATATTTTTCTCAAATGCGGTGCTCTGAAAGATCTCATTTGTGTAATTATATACTCATTGGTATTTATAAAACATTTTCTAGGTTATATTATTTTTCATTTATGTTATTTAAATTCAGAACCTAAATTTGGTATCGATTAAATGGACATTTTGTCGAATAACATTTTCCCAGTTATAATTTCCCAGAATTTATCGAAGAATAGATAGTAATATATGAAGGTCCGGGGTTAAAAAGGTCCAACACCTATATGTCAAAAACCAGTAAAAACAACAATATTTGAAAGTAGGGGGAAAAAGATGTATAACCAGCTATAACCTTGATTCTTATGACTTTGCTATCGGGAGATAAATGGTAATCTTTGAAAATCCATAATAAAAGTATTTTCTTCCGTTGGTAGTTTTTGAAGTAAAACTTCTTTAGGCGCGATATGGGTGTAAAAATTTTTAGGCGCGACACGGGTGTAAATCCGTACAAATGCAACGAAAATGCCAACGTGTAGTTGAACACTACGACGCCGTAAGCGCTGATGTCGCGAGTATCCACTCCCGTCATGTCATGCCTTAGTCGAGCGCTAAACCCTATATGAACTTGCATTAATTGAATCACGTTTTTTATGTTATGTCCTCATGGAATAAGACTTTTCTTAGAGAATAAATGTGCCATGGAATATAATAAATTTATATTGAATCTCGTTGAAGACAAAATAATATCTACTGCCACGGATATTTATGTAGGTTGCCATGCGACAGATCAACAATCATACATTCGTCAGCAGTTTCACAAAAACCGGTTATTGATACCGGGGGTTTGCCGTATGAAATAATTTTAGTTCTGAATAAATTTTACATAATAACAACTAATATTGATGTAAGTGATGGCTTAGCTAATGGTTGTGTAGGGAAATTAGTGTACATAGAACGTGGCGATGATGATGAACTTCTACGTTTATGGTTTGAATTTCCCGGTAAGATAGGTAACAAAATTAGGAAGAAAGCTGCACATCATATTCAAACTCTTAATATCAGTAGGACAGCTGTGCCGATGCTCAGGAGATCTTATTATTATTGATGTTATATGATTATTAAAAGATGATTTTTAAAATTCAAATATGATGTTTTTTTATTTTTATCTTAATTGCCTACTCATACAATATTAAAAGTTTTACTTCAATCGCGTGTGATCCTTACGCGCACTCTTTTTATTTAGCATTAGTTAAGAATGTAATTATTTTGTAAAATACCTTTAAAATTAAAATGAGACATTAAATCTGTTTGCCACCTGGTCGTTCCAAGTTACCCCGCATATATGATAAAAAGATCTAGATAACAAATTTTGGAAAGACATTAAAAAAGCACATTTCTACAATGATGAAATAGCTGGCAGTCTTATTGAACGTAGTCAGATAATTGTTCGTTTGATATGTGTTATTTGTTGTGATATAATTGGTTTGATTTATATAATATCATTAATATTTGCTCAAAGTCGAATTGGACCTTTGTGCCTCGCCCTGCTCTACATAAATACTTTTTATTAAATTTGTTTTAATTCATCGAATGTTATTTGAAATTTCTCAAAAAGCAGGCCAAAGAAGAAATACTTGATTCATTTTCTATCTCTTCTCGCAAAAATTTGAAAATTTTGTGAAAGCTCAGAAGTATTATTTACAATTATACATAAAATTCAGAATTCAAAAAGAATCTGAAAGACTTGAAACGTAATCAATAAGTCTATAGACCAAAAAAGACTTGGATTAGATTATACCATGTTTTCTATAGAAAGTGTATAAAAACTTCCAGTTTGATTGTATTGACAAAATATAGACGAATTAATGGGGTTTGTTGTTTTTATAATACTTCATTGTATATAGCATTCAAACAACACATCCTTATACACTTATAGTATTAATATTTTTGATTCTCTAGAAATTGTTTAGAATATACCTTACTTAGCAAAACAATGTTCGTCGGGTTTGCTAGTTTAGAATAAATTTATGAGTGTTTATTTTTTTACCCAGGTTTCGTCTAGCCCTGTCACATTCTGTGCTATCAGTAAGTCCTTACTTGACATTCCCTTTACCTTATCTGGAAAGTGAAGCTGGTAGAAAATGCAATTTGCGAAAATTGTTTCCTGTCGAAATGTTTTATTCTGAACAGTTTCACGAAGAAACGGCGACTAAGGAGCCGGAGACTCCTACTGATGATGAAGATTGCATGAATAATATACAGGTAAGAAGTATAATAATATTATATTTATATATGATATGACATATGATATGATATTCTACACATAACAGATAAATGTTATGGCAAGGCCATGTTACGCTTCAACTTCCATACATTATGCCACTGAATTATACTTATAGTTTGATGAAACTAAATATTTACTTAGTAAATGATTAAAAACACGATTTGACTATGATCAATATTTAATCCGATGAGAAAATACGAACATGTAAAACTTTCTAGATTAGAACAATATTTTAATGACAAAAATAACAAAAAATGATTATTTTTACTGAGATCACTTTTGGCTAGATGTCAGGGGACGCCATATACTGAACACTGTCGAAATGTCATGTGTTTGCTGTGCATTCAGGCGTTGTCCACATAAACTACAACTTTGCTTTTGTCAATTTTTAGTATGGAAAGTTTTTATAACATAGCCTTGCCATAACATTGGTCTGTTCTGCGGCAGAATCGGTTCCTTAATATTTTTCCAACTGATTTCTTCATTCTTCTTTTTGTTTTTCTAAATCTGATCTTCTTGAATTCTAATCTTGTTTTTTTCTTTGTGCTTCTAATTTTTATAATATTTCTAATTTTTAATACTAATAACAATAGTCAAATTTTATAAAAAGTTTAATGTTTCAATTCAATATATTGTAAAAATGTCAATTTATCTGTTGAATGTAAATTTAGGCACCTTAAACTTCTTTATCCTGAAAATTTTAAAATATTTGATAATTTTTTTTTTTTTGATTATTGGAAAGTTTTTATTTGGCTTTTATAATTTTTGAAAAAAATGGATTTTTTGATAATTTTGAAATTTTTGGAAAAATTTGTATTTTGTGAGGTTTTTGAAATACACCGATAATCCTGAAAAATTTCGAAAATCTGATCTTTTTGTGAATTTCAAAATTTTTTGAAATATTTCAAAAATTAAATTTCCCAAAAAAATACAAAATTTTCCAAAAATTTCAAAATTATAAAAAAAATCTATTTTTTTGTTCAAAAATTATAAAAACCAAATGAAAACCTTTTTTATTTGTATAAATTTTTGTACATTTTTGACTGTTTTGAAAACATCAAAATATTTGAAAAATAATTCAAAATGTTTAAAGTTATGTAATTTTTTCAGATTTTTTATAAGTTTTTCATAATTTTTGCCAAAAAAATATTTTTTGATAATTTTAAAAATTTTGGAAAGTTTTTTGCAATGTTTGAAATAAATCGATTATTTTTGAAAAGTCTGATTTTTTTTAAACAATTGATATTTTTGAAATTTCTGAAAAATTACGAAAATTTGAAAAAAAAACGATGCATTTTAATAATTTTGAAAATATATAATTTTCCAAATATTTTGAAATTAAAAAAAAAACGATTTATTTAATAAAAATATATATTTTTGGAATTTTTGAAAAATTACTATAAATTTTAAAAAAACCATTTATTTCAAAAATTTTAAAAACTTAATTTTCCAAACATTGAAATTAAAAAAAAAATCAATTCATTTAAAATTTTTTACAAAATACATAATTTTTCAATTATCTTAAAATTATCAAAAATGTATTTTTTTATTTAAAGTATAAAACTTCATATATCTTTAAAAATGTGTAAAGTTGCAAAAATTTGACAATTTAAAATATAATAAGACTGAAAATTTTGATTTTTTATTTTAAATTCTAAAATGTAAAATTTTAACATTATTTAAAAATGCTCCAATTTTTTTAACAAAATATTAGTTTTTTTTTAATTTTTGAAAGAAAATAGATTTATTGATAATTTAAAATATTCGGAAAATATTGAAAATTTTGTATTTTGTGAAATTTTTGAAATTAATCAATTCTTTGAAAATTCTCATTTTTTTTAAAATACATCTGAAATTTGAAAAAAATCGACTTTTTTTTAAATTTTTCTAATTTTTCCAATAAAATGGAACAACATTTTTTGCGATTACTATAACTTAGGGAGCGTCTATTAATCACGTGATCGATTTTTTAAGGGTTTTTGGACATCCTCTCTCTCTCTTGGTTATATTCATAATTACCCTCCCCCTCCCATACCAAACATCACGCGTTAAAAAAATCTTGTAGTAAATAAATATACGTGGTATCTTACTATAACCCTCCATGCCCCACGTAATATTTTTTTATTTTTTGTCAAACCTTCGCTCTTCCTAAAATCCTCACGTGATTAATGGGCAAAGTTAAAAAAAATCTGAGGATTAAAAATTGTTTTATATAAAATTATTAACTGTAACTTATCTATATCTATCACCACCCAGTTGAACCCACCACATCCTCTTCTAACCCACGACATCGGTTCATCGCTGAAAAACAGAGTCGAACTGGAGGCTCTGGTTGCCGATTTTAGGGCAACCGGGGGCAGATTGCCCTACGGCATCCCTTATCGTCAAAGGGACAAAGATTCGAAGAGTTCTAACAAACAACATTGTGGCAACAATCATAAAACAAAATCGAATACTCAATTACGTAATAAAGTGATGGACGCTTTGCATCCTGCAAATCATCAGAAGTTGTCTGTGTCGTTGTGCATTCATAGCAAACATAGTTCGAATTTTCCTGGATTTTGTGTCAACCCGAGGTAAGATGATAATAGATGATAATAGATAGATAATAGATAGATAATAGATGATAATAGATGATAATAGATACGTTAATGGAGTAAACTGCGGTAATAGAGCTCATAACACAGCGTTGGCAGTTAAAATTGTGAAAATGTATGTCTATTCGGCGTATTTTACATAAAAACAAGTCGGGGGGAATGTTCGAGGATGCAGTTTTGGTAAGCTTCTTCTTTGCTTGTTTATATATAAACTACGCCTGGTCGCACTGCAAATAGATAGAAGAGTTAAATTGATATGACAATGCTATGTTATGAGCTATGAATTAGATTTTTTGATAATTTTGTAATTTTTGAAACAAAAAAAAATGTTTTGTGAAGCTTTTTTTTGTAAATCCTAAAAATTACAAAATTCTGAACCTTATGTGAATTTTAAAAATTTCTGAATTTAATTTTTTTTTAAATAGCCTTTTAGAAATTTTCCAAAGATGATAAATTTTGTAAATATTTGTATAAAAATTTGTTTTTTTTTCGATAATTTTGAAAATATTTAAAGAAATTTAAAAATGTTTAAAAAAAAATAATTTTGTCTGAAAAATTTGATAAATTTTTTGATTCTTGAAAGATTCTCATAAGGTATTTATAATATTTGAAAAAAAAATGAATTTTTTGAATTTTTGAATGGCAGAATAACCCCATAAATTATTTTAGAAGTCAGAGAATTAAAATATTTTAATTTAAAAATCATAATAAGTATGGTTATCGTTTAGAGCGGGGTCTAGAATTTCGGACATCTCGATATATAGCAGTATGATATCAAAATTGTGAAAATGTCTATCTATTTACCGTGCGATCAGGCATATTTTACAAAAAAACAAGTCCGGGGGAATGTTCGAGGATGCAGTTTTGGTAAGATTTTTCTTTGCTTTGTTTGTATGTAAAATACGCCTGATCGCACTGCAAATAAATAGAATAGATAGATTGATATGACAATGCTATGTTATGAGCTCCTATTATGGCTCCTATTATTATGGCAGAATAACCCCAGAAATTATTTTAGAGGCGGTGAGGTCAGATAATTAAAATAATTTAATTTAAAAATTATATTAAGTATGGTTGTCGTTAAGAGAAACTTCGGCCAGCTTGATATCAAGCAGTATGATATGAAAAATTCACTTGTGGGTATAGATCTCAAGTGAACATTTCTTTTGGTGGTCTTTGCACAATATATACGTGCTAACTTTAATAGATATAAATATATAGAGAGTCTATATATAAAAGATTGTCACTTTTGAAAAAAACTGCTGATTTTATTTCAATCATTGTCAATTTTTTCGACTTTCATGTTTCTTATGTAGAATTAGAATATGTATTTTTCAATTTTATATAAATATCTAGTTTTATAGTTTTAATTTTTAATAAATATTTATAATCTATACATTAAAGAGTTTCTGACCATTGGGTAGCTTTTTTAAAAAAACTGCTGATTCTAACGGCTGTTAATTTTTTTTAGATGTTTTCTTTTTTTTTATGTTTTGATTTGATTAGAATAGATTTTTTTTTCATTTTTCAGAATTATAAATCTCCAGTTCTATGGCAGAGACGATATAGCATTAGGAAATTTTCTAAACAAATATTGCTTCAATTCGAGTTATTTATGTCCGAGTGGAAATTGCAACACGCCTATGATGCAACATATCAGAAGGTAATTGTTATTCATATTATAACCATGCATACAAACAATTATTTTGAATATTTTAATCACAAAACACTCGAAAATGAAAATTTTTATACGTCTTTTCGTTTCAACGCCATTTAAGCATTTTAGTAGATTTTAAAAAAATGCAGCTATGTATGTATGTATGTATGTGAGAATACAATCTTCCATCGACGATTTCGGGAGCATGGATCAAATGATTTGAATGATTCAAAAAACATTCGATTTGTATTAATGGAGATACGTGCTGATTAGTTTTTAGCAAAGGCAGGTCCACCGATTTCGGAGATAACTCAAATGTTAGTAGATTTGTATAAGTTTCTCACAAGATCTTTATTAGATTCTTACAATATTTATAATAGGCTCCCACTACATTCTTATAAAATTCCCATTGTGTACTTGGCAAATGGATTTTTATAACATTTTTGCTAGATCTTGGAAAAAACAGACACAGCCATTTCGGATATAAAGCTAGTCATACTCTAACTAAAATGTTAGTAGATTCGTATAAGATTCTTGCAAGATACATATTAAATTCTTACTATATTCATAATGGATTCTTTCTACATTTTGGAAAAAAATCTCTTGGATACTCGGCAGTAAGATTCTTATAGAATTTTTGCTATATTTTTATTGGATTCTTACTAGATTATTATTGTTATCTTACCACATTTTTATAAGATTTTCTTTGCGATTGAATTGTCTTATTTTTAGCAGATTCTCATAAGATTGTTACTCGAATTTTATTGAATGAGATTCTGTAGGATTTTTAAAAGATTCTTCTCAAATGCTTAGGTTCTCGCTAAATTCTTATTGAATTGTTGCTTGATTTGTATTGGTTTACGTCCTAATTGTTACTAGATTATAATTACGATTATTACTACATTTCTATACGAAATACGTTCGAATCAATTTCTTGTTCGATTCTTGCTAGATTCTTATTCTGAATTGATTCGTACTTGATTATAACTGAAATCTCAATTTCGTTTGTTTGGTTAATTATAGACACATTTCGACAAGCTACAATACAACTTGACTTAAGACCAACTGCCACTTACACCTAGTTATTTGAAATCAAGTAGTATTTTTATTAACTTCACTAGTGTCAGTTATAATAAACACAAAATATTCAAAATGGAAAATTTTTATATGTTCTTCACATTTGACAAACTAGCGGAAATGTATATTTGTTTGTGTGGATATGTATATATGCAGATACAATCTTTTATCGACGATTCCGAGAGCACGGATCAACCGCTTTGAGTTATTCAAAAAAACATTTGAGTCGTTTTGACGGCGGGACTAGTCAATTATTATTTTCCAAAAGCGTAATACTGGGCAAAAAATTATGATTCATTTTTTTTGAGACAACGGAGCATCCGATTATAATAATTCAAAAACCATTTTATTCATTTCATTATTTCAGATACATACACGACACAGGATGTTTAGAAGTTTCTTTAGAACCCGTGGACAAAAGTTCTAAAACCAAGGAACAAATTGTCTCCAAAAACAACAACGGAGACATTTTCATCTGGTCGTGGTGCAAGCAATGCAAAAAATCTACGCCGATTGTTCCTATGTCAAACGAAGCCAAGTAAATATTAAAACAAATACTAACAAATATTTTTATTTCTAATTAAAAAATGTTAATGATTTTAATAAACAGATTAATATCGTTTGGAAAATATTTGGAACTGCGATTTCATGGAAGTGCCTATAGATCTCAGAACGATTGTGGGCATTCTTTGCATCATGATCATAACCAGTATTTTTTGTCTAATGGTATCAGAACTTGTATCAAGTGAGTACTTGCATAATAGATACACATTCTATTAAAAATTATTTATGAAAGTAAGTAATATAACATGATTTTTATTATTTTATAACATGATTTTTTATTAGATATGTGAGTATTAACCTTTGGGAAGTATGTCTACCGCCTTTTATAATATCAGTAGCAAATGAGCCGACGACAGAACGAGCCGAGTTGATTAATGAAATAAAAACATTGTCTTTACAAGGACACGAGGTAATAATAATAATAAAACAATTATCAAATAATGTTTAGTAATTATTTTATAACAATTTTGTTTTTTTCTGGTGCAGGTTTTCTCAGGAATTAACGATCGTCTGAATTTAATCAGCGGAGAAAGCGATGAAAAAAGTCAAAGTTCCAAATCTTTTGCAATACGAGAATTGGCTGTTTATAAGGCTAGGGTTGAAGCTGTTCAAGTTTTAATTGCAGAGAAAGGTAATAATAATTATAACAAATAAATACCATATCTACTAATTTTTTTAACCCTTAAAACTACCCTTAAATAAAAACAGTTAATATTTATGACTGCATATTCAAAAATTATTCAATTATATAATAAGAAATCAGAATTTATCATACTAATTTATCAAATCGTTGCGCAATATTCAAATCTTGTTTTTAGATGAGCCGGTCAACCATTTGTTTGCAAAATTATGGAAAATTCGGAAAATTCATGGGACTGTTTTATATGGTTTATTACAAATAAAAATTATTTTTCCCATCGGATTTACACGTCTAATTTTATATTAACACTTTTTAAATGTGGGCGTCATGGAAGCATTTTGTGGGCGACCAAGATTCGTTTCTTTAGTAATATCGAACTTGGGAAATACATGGTGAAAAAATCCACTTCAAATAATTAATTAGCACCAAAATCATTATCAAAGTCTTTAAAAAGTCATATGCTCGATCGCAATTAATTAAGTCAATAGTTTTGGGCACCTAATACTGCGTACTTACACTTTGCTCCAAATATAGACAAAAATACGATGAGTTTTGGGGTCATAACTCCTTTAATTCTGATCCTATCAGAACTTGTGATATACCATTTTAAAGGGCTACAACTTTCCCTATAATTAATTTTACCGTAACTCTTCTTATTTTGAAACGGCAAAGGGTTGAAAAGAGACTCTGGTTGCACGGCCGCGCACTCTTTAAACAATCATAACTCTATCAATATTTGTGTAACAGAAAAAAAAAATAAAAAGCAATAATTAGACAAAAAAAAATGTCCTTGCCTTTTCATCTATATACTTTTATACGTATCTTTTATTCTTTCTGAGATGTAATGAAAATTAGTTGATTTTACAAAAAAATTTGAATTTTTTGACATTTGTTTATACTAAAGTTATATTTAGTATGTGCTAGAATCCATCAAGGTTTTTTAAATCAAGTTAATTCTATACAAAATAATATATAAAATAATAAAGTATTATATTGAAAAAAGAGATAGAGATCTGTAAATAGTAATCGCGATTAGACAAGTGTAAAAAGATAAATGAAAATAATAAAATGAAATAAGACAAAATAAAAAGGGATAAGGACAGGTAGATATTAAAAGAAATATAGATAACAATATATGAAGAGTGAAATAATTCAAAAGAATTTTGAAATAATACAAAACAATTGGATAAAGAAAGGGATAGAGATAGACAAATTGAAAGGGAGCGTAGAAAATTGTAGAAAGTTAATGAAGACAATAAAATATTATAAACAAAGTGATGGGTAGATAGGTAGATAAAAAGGACATGTATAATATACAAATAGAAAGAGAGAGTATAGAAAAGTTTAGAAAGTTAGATGAAAATAATTAAATGAAATTTTACAAAGAAAATGGGATAGAGATAGGAATAGAGATGCTAGACAGATAGAGAGAGAGTATAGAAAAATAATAGAGGCAATAAAAAGAAGAAGATAAAGATACTAGAAAAAAGAAGATAGATATAATACTTTTTTATTTGCATGATAGCTCACTCATTTTACATACAAAACACCCTAACAGTACTCATTTTGTAGTTTATTTTAAGCACTATAAAACCCCATAGAATATATAAAATGGAACGCCTCGTCGCTACATGGCTTCAAATACAACAATTGAATCTCGAACGAAATAAAAAACGACTTTGCTCTTCCATATCTAGCTTAATATTATTCCCAGAACACTTTATAGAACACTAATTTATCAAGATTTTAATTGTCAAAATTTTGTTCATTACATCATTTGCGCTAAAATGTATATTTCTGGAGATATTTGCAGAAAAACGTAGAAAAACGCCAAAAAGAAACCAATTTTTAGTAGCATGTAACTTGATAAGTATGTTTTTTTGAAATATTTCATGAAACATTTTTTTCTTATAATTAATTTTTCTATCGATAACCGACGTTATTTTGAGAAAATAAAATTACACCTCAGAGAAGTGGTGTCAGTACAAATTGTTTTAATGAACCTAATTCCAAAATTTTATACATATTGGAGCACAGTAAAAAAATCATACCTAAAACGATCCGTTGACTGGAGTATAGAAGTTTTTGCATTATATTGGTTTTTCATACTAAAACCATTTTATAGTTTTTAATCAAATGATTCAATTTATGTGTTTGCAGGTTCTATGTATTTATTTTTTTATTTTTTAGCTCCCTGGACACAAGTTGCAGATGCCATAGTGTTGGTTAAAAGGGCAATAAGTGAAGCTTGTGAGAGTTGGAATGCAGCCCTTCAAGGAGGGGAAAGAAATCCCACGAAGCAATTTCCTATTGATGCTGGACATACTACTGATGAAGATTTTGGTAAGGAAATTATAAAAATAGTTTTTATTTATTTCTAGTTATATATTAAATATACTTGAGAGAGTGCACAGTACTTCAAGGGGCGTCCATTAGTCACGTGATCGATTTTTTAAGGGCTTTTGGTCCCCCCTCTCTCGGTTGGTGATACATGATGATATTTATTTATTTTTGATTTTTTTTTTTAAATGTTCAGATTTTTTCTTAATATAGATAAAAAATAATTACACGTGATATCATACTTTTAGGTACTTTTAGTCCCCCCTCTCTCGGTTGGTGACACATGATGATATTTATTTATTTATTTGTTTTTGATTTTTTTTTAAAACGTTTGGATTTCTTTTAATTTAGGTAAATAATAAATACAGGTGATATCTTACTAGACCTCTCTTTCATCCACGTATTTTTTTATTATTTTTCCTCTACCCCTAAATGCCTCATATGATTAATGTACATCCTGTAATATTTATTATTGTGTTTATTATTGTAATATTTTTTATCATTTTTTTTTAGATCAGGAATCTTCAAGCATTCTTCATGATAGTTCGTCTTTGAAATTTAGTGACTCCGAAATGTCGACACCTCATAACACGCCTCAATCGACTAGGAAGTTACTCGAAGTGGAACAAAATGAAGGTATTTGAATTTTTGTTACACATTTTATAAGTGGTAAAGCATCCTGCATATTTTTGCTATCGATTACAGCATTTATAAATGATACTTCATGCTCGTAAAAAAATGTTTTTGATATCAATTCATTGTTATCATTTTTATAATATGCATATATAATTTATGACCATTAGCCCGGTCAATTTAAACCTAAAATTAGGGTGAAGGTTACAATAATTTATAATGGGTTGTGAACGGTAAAATTGTTTAAAATGCAATTATAAAAGAAATTTCAAAAAAAAAAACAAAAGTGACTCTGAGGGAAAAAAGTATTGATGCATTTTTTGTAGATAATTTTATGCTCTACAATATTGTCTCAGGTAATTTTGCGACAAAACCGACCGTTTAGCTTAAATTACTCAGGCTAAGCACAGTCTAACTGAAAACCTGGTACAAATGTTCTTGAAAAGGCGTTTATATAGTTACTATACAAGAGCACTTTTTCGATTTTGTGAAAACTATTGAAAAAGGTAAAAATACCGCCAAGCAGAGCACAGTCGAAGTGAAAATGTCGCACAAAATTATTTGCGAATGCGTTTAGATTTTGACTATACAGGAGCGCTTTTCCAATTTTGTGTAAATTATGCAACTATTTTTTATCTTCCCGAAGGAGAAGTTTATGTTTTCATCAAAAAATCCGATTCGCTAATTTTATGCTTTCGACGTTTCAAGCCATTCTGAATCGAATGAGACCAAATTTTGAAAAAGTATGTTTGTGTGTGTGTGTGTGAACAGATTTTTTACCGTAAATCGACGTTTGCTCAAAAACGCCTGAACCGATTTCATAAATTTAAAAGCCATTCAATGTATCTCGATGAGAACTAGCGTTTATCAACATTGAGCCACGATCGGCGAAGCCGTTTCTTTATAAATAGCAGAAAAGTGTTTTTTTATGTTTTTAATTATTTCATGACTTCCTGTTCACTTTGCATATAACTTGAATAACTGAACTTAAATATAACTCCATTGATTACTAAATACTACTGACTCATATTGATCTGAACATTATGAAAACTTAATGACGACTGACCAAAAAATGCGCCATTCCTTCGTATTTATGTGCTTGCTTTACCTTGACATTGTAATCCCTGTTCAATGTCATTTCATAGTGCAAATCTACGTTTTACGTAGTCGGTAAGGCGCAGTTTGTGGTTTCAGAAGGAATTTTATCAACGCTTGCAATGTTACTGCGAGCATACAATGTATTGTAGCTATGAGTAACACTAACTGCGTTGTTTGTATTCTGACCGTTATATAGTAGTTTATAATATTATTGATATTATTACAAATGGGTGGATACCACTACAATATATATCATGGTCTTATAGAACTTACTGAAATATAACGGCCTTACGACAAGTAGTTTAATTTTAAAAATTCATCAAAGTTTGAGAAAATGAGTAGTTTTTTCGACATTTGTTGAAATTAAAATTCGACGATTTACTTGGTATAACGATAGAGTACTTGGTCTTGATGAACATACTAAACCATTAAAGTCCTACGAAAACTGGTTCAATTATAAAAATCGTTGATTTTTGAAAATTTGCTTTTAGAAAATACTTCGAGTTAACGTGTTCGTTCGTTTTCAATGATGTGTAATGAATTCACTCGGAATACTTTTAATCACTCGTAAATTAATTTATTTTTTATTCATTAATTACACATATCGGGAAGTTCATGTAATTTGCCTCAAGGCAAAATACCAATACCAACTAATTTATAATTATATTGTACACAATTTTACCAAGTTACATGCCATTATGAACTCTTGTAACCTTGGCTACATTGAATGTATATTAAAAAATTCAACTACGAGCAATTGAATGCATGAAAAAATTCATCACTGCTATTTTTTTATTATCAATATGCTTTACTGGATGTGCTTTTGGATATAGGATAAGGTTTCCTAAGTCGTACCTTTTTCGACTTGAGTAACCTTGTCTTATTTGCACTTCATGCAATATTATTTTTTATTTATTTATTTATTTATATATATACATTATTTTTATATCTCAGTCAGACAGTGGTATGAGAGATTATGAAAACAGTTTGCATATTTTATATATACATTTTATTTGACAGATTCTTTAATATAATATCTATTATAATTAAAATACCTTTATATAAATCTTCAGTCTTTTTTGTCTTCAATTTCCTTATAATATTTCTTTATTTTTCTTTTAAATTTATCGTCATCATTGGTCATCTTAATATCGTTTGGCATAGGAAATGCAATACCGATGGAAAATTTCAATACCGGTATTTCGGTAATTTTTCATTTTAAAACCGGAATACTGGTAATTTACCGATATTTTTATTATCTTAAACAAACGTAATCAAAATTGAAAGTTACTAACACAAATATAAAAAAATGTATATACAACTACATCTATATTCAACTAAACAATAAAAACATTAAAATAAAACAATAAGTTTATTTCTTTAAATAATAATTTAACAAAATTATATCCAATTTAATTAATTCAATATCACTATCGAGTATATTATTTACTTTTCACCAAAAACAAACTTATGAGTAAGAAAGACCAAAAACTCATAAAAGAGATAATATTACATTATTATAATAAACTGTATTGTCTGTATCCGATGTGTTAAATTAGCATAATCTCCAATATTTAAAAAAAATTTTTTTTTCTATATTAATTTAAGATCGGATACTTTGTCGAGATAAATAATAAGTTACTATAATTGTTGAGTATTGTTATTTGAAACAATGTGATGCTGCTATAGTATTTTCAAACTTGGAAACGTTTTCGAAAAATCATATTTTATAATTGTAATAAGAAGCAAAAATATTTAGTAATTATCATAATTATTATGTATAACGTTAGAAAAAAAAAAAGATTAGGCAGGGCTAATTTGTATGATATAAAATATTTTGGCGCAAATATCACTTAAAAAGCCGTTACATTTTTACATAAGATGAAACAAACACCATTATCTATCTCTATCTCTATCCATTATCTATCTCTATCTAGTTCAATTCTATTTATTGTAACACGATATGAAGCCCTTTGGAAAGCAATAAATATTCAGTTTAATGACGAGTTGAGATAATATTTGACATTTGTTTATCTTATGTAATCACTTGAAGATATAGCTGTTTATGCGGTTATGGAATTTAAACATTGTTCCGAGAAATTTAAACTTTAGTGTATTAAGTATCAAATAGCGCTTATTGAAAAATACCGAAAATACCGGTATTTTTAGGGTAAATACCGGTAAAAATACCGCCGAAAAATCGGGCGGTTTACCGGTAATTCGGTATACCGGTATAGCGGTATTGCATTCCCTAGTTTGGCAATTCATTATTCATTATGCTTATGGTTATTCGATGTTGTTATGTGTGTTTTTGGGTTGTTTGGTATTTTTAGTTTTTGCACCGCATAATGGACTGACGAGCAGATCCAGCACGAGAATATCTTTACCGGACGTGGTCGATTATCTAGATCTCGAAGATCTAGAGAGAAAACTCTTTCAGAGTATTTACAAGCCGAATAAACATTCGAGCGCTTGTAGCAGTATTAGAGGTCAGTATATGTGGGACACATTGCTTGGCATAAATGTTTATTTAAATTGTAGAACCGATTCTGACACATAACAGATCAATGTTATGGCAAGGCCATGTTGCGATTCAACTTCCTTGCATTATGCTACTGAATCATACTGAATACTGTCAAAATGTCTAGTATTTGTTGTGCATTCAGGCGTTTTACACATAAACTGCAATGTCACTCGTATGTTATGAAGCTGAGTCAGAACGACCCTGTTATCTAACATCGTTTTTTTTTTGACATTTGTGCGGTTCCTACCTTAAGTTTTCTATCTGACAGCTTTATTAATACGCCTGTTTGCACAACAACCGCATGACTTATGTATGAAAAGTTCTTCTAAACATAGCCTTGCCATAACATTTTTCTATTACGCGACAGAATCGATCCCTCTGTCATCATAGAATCCTGTGATAGATTTTTTCAATTAGGCATAATTTTTTTAAATATTTTTTTTAGGAAGTGAATGCAGTACTCCTGAGATGAGACACCACAATCGTATGCAAAGTGATGGTCAATCTGTCTTAGATGACACTACAGATTCATCCGACAGAAAGTCTTTGATGAGCATGTTTATGCACCTCAAAACATCATCAAATAACTTAATAGTGTCACATATCCAGGTAAATGATCTAACACATAAAGTAAATAGTTAGAATAAATAATAATAATATAGATATATAATATTGGGCAATATTGTTGATAATTTAATTTTAAACAAATTTCTCGAATATTGCATTTGAATCAGATGAGCCGTTGAGGAGCTACAAGACTTTCAATAAACACACCAGTACGATGGGTCGAATGAAGGGTCGAAACGTTTTACGTGAAATATGTCGTGTGGGGTATCATTTGAAAGGTCTCGAGGACCGCTTTATGAATTTAGTACCGAGAACACATTTACAAGAACAATTTATATTTTCAGAGTGTACCACGTTGCTATAGGGTTATATAATTTTAGGCAATACTGTCGGTAATTTAATTTTGAACATATTTGTCGAATATTGCATTCAAATCAAACGAGCCGTTTAGGAGTTACAAGACATTTAATAAATGCACCAGTACGATGGGTCGAATGAAGGGTCGAAACGTTTCACGTAAAATATGCCGTGTGGGGTATCATTTGAAAGGTCTCGACGAGCTATATATGAATATAGTACCGAGAACAATTTTACAAGTACAATTTCGACATATTTTAACGCATTTCCGTTGCTACAAAATTTTTGCCTCTCGAAAATTGTTTGAAAAAGTTTTACTCCAGTAATTCAACATTCAGGGAGCAATTCTGCTTCATAAAATAGCTCAGAAATTTGTTTTACTTGCAATTATTTTTAAAATATAGTTAAAACATGCCATTATATGTGTAAAAAATTTTGTATCAATAAATTTAATAGTTCTTTCAGAAAAATATCTTGAAATCTTTTTTTAATACCACTTACTAGTTTTTTTTTATTATTTTAGAGTCCAATACCAATAAGTGAGCACTACCTGCTACCAATTGGCACAATACCAATAGCTGTTCGAGAAAATGAACCAGAATCAATTATAGCATATGCTTTGATGTCACCAGATTATGCAAAATCTTTAGAAGACTCTATCAAGATGGAAGCTTACATCAAATCACAAGACAGGTAATAATATTCTAAATTATATAATTGACTTAGGCTTTATATTATTTTACTTGCTGCTAAATCTGCGACAAATTTGTTCAGAATTAAATTATCTACAATCTTGCCTAATACTACTCTCGGTACTATATTCATAAAGAGGTCGTCGAGACCTTTCAAATGATACCCCACACGACATATTTTACGTAAAACGTTTCGAACCTTTATTCGACCCATCGTACTGGTGCACTTATTAAAAATCTTGTAACTCCTCAACGGCTCGTCTGATTTGAATGCAATATTCGACAAATGTGTTCAAAATTAAATTATCTACGATATTGCCTAATATTATATAACCCTACAGCAACGCGGTATACTCTGAAAATAGAAATTGTTCTAGTAAAAGTGTTCTCGATACTATATTCATAAAGAGGTCGTCGAAACCTTTCAAATGATACCCCACACGACATATTTTACGTGAAACTTTTCGACCCTTCATTCGCCTCATCGTTCTGGTGCATTTATTAAAAGTCTTTGTAACTCCTGAACGGCTCGTCTGATTTAAATGCAATATTCGACAAATGTGTTCAAAATTAAATCATCAACAATATTGCCTAATATTATATAACCCTACAGCAACGCGGTATACTCTGAAAATAGAAATTGTTCTTGTAAAATTGTTCTCGGTACCATATTCATAAAGAGGTCGTCGAGACCTTTTAAATGATACCCCACACGACGTTTCGACCTTTAATTCGACCCATCGTACTTGTGCATTTATTGAAAGTCTTGTAACTCTTCAACGGCTCGTCTGATTTAAATGCAATATTTGACAAAGTTGTTCAAAATTAAATTATCTACGATATGGAATAATATTATATAACCCTAGAGCAACGCGGTATACTTTGAAAATATGATTTTTTGTTGTAAAATTGTTCTCGGTACTATATTCAGAAAGAGGCCGTCGAGACCTTTCAAATGATACCCCACAAGACATATTTTACGTGAAACGTTTTGACCCTTCATTCGACTCATCGTTCTGGTGCATTTATTGAAAGTCTTGTAACTCCTCAACGGCTCGTCTGATTTGAATGCAGTATTCGACAAATTTGTTCAAAATTACATCTTACTTACACTTACATCAAATCACAAGACATGTGAAAATAAACAGGCTTTATTTTTTTTCTTACCAGTGCTGCGGAATCTGACGAAATTAACTCGGGCAAAGAAAAAACCGAAACCGACAAAGCTACCAAAAACAAGTATCAGCATATTGAAGTCAACTTCCAGGTAACACCATCAGAAATTTGCCTAGCATTTGCAATCCGATAAAATTGATTTTTCCGCAGGATTCTACAACAAATTTTATGTGTCGTGTATACTTTGCGCAAGATTTTGAGCGTCTGCGCGAACTAGTATTACCCCAAGACAACCCTAGAATCAGCTTGGCTAGAAGTTTAGCCAGAACCACCAATTGGCAAGCCAGGGGCGGCAAAAGTGGATCAAAATTTAGCAAGACCCTAGGTAAACTTAATTTTAACCTTTTAGCAAAAAATTTTGCGTTTGTGTCTATTTTATATCTATTTTTCTATCTTTTTTTTAAGATGATAGGTACGTCATCAAGCAAATGAGTCGCTTAGAGATGCACATTTTTTGCGAATTCGCTCCACATTATTTTCTGTATATGGAAAGTTGTATTTCGGCAGGCACTCCGACACTTTTGGGTAAAATAGTGGGAGTTTATAGAGTTATTTATAGGAATGCCGCCAATGGCGGCGCTCAACATCAGATGAGCGTTCTGGTTATGGAGAATTTGTTTTATAAGCAGAAAATTAGCAGAAGGTAAGACTTTTTTATACTAAATTGAGGTAATTTTTGAGGCTAGTTTGGTATATTTAATTTTATTTCAGGTTTGATTTGAAGGGTTCAGAGCGCAATCGACTTGTGGAGAACGATGGTGTTCTTGATGACGAGGCTGTTTTGCTGGATCAAAACTTCATGAAAAGTAAGTTATATTGTAATATTCATAAAGAGGTCGTCGAGACCTTTTAAATGATACCCCACACGACATATTTTACGTGAAACGTTTTGACCCTTCATTCGACCCATCGTACTGATGCATGTATTGAAAGTCTTGTAACTCCTGAACGGCTCGTCTGATTTGAATGTAATATTTGACAAATTTGTTCAAAATTAAATTATTTACAATATTGCCTAATGTTATATAACTCTACAGCAACTCCGTGAACTCTAAAATAGAAATTGTTTTTGTAAAATCTATACTCGGTTCACTCTCGTTCTCGGTACTATATTCATAAAGAGGGCGTCGAGACCTTTCAAATGATACCCCACACGACATATTTTACGTGAAACGTTTCGACCCTTCATTTGACCCATCGCACTGGTGCAATTATTGAAAGACTTGTAACTCCTCAACGGCTCGTCTGATTTGAATTCAAAATTCGACAAATTTGTTCAAAATTAAATTATCTACAATACTGCCTAATGTTATAGAACCCTACAGCAACTCCGTATACTCTGAAAATAGAAATGGTTCTTGCAAAATTGTTTTTGATATTATATTCATATAGAGGTCGCCGAGACCTTTTAAATGATACCCCACACGACATATTTTACGTGAAACGTTTCGACCCTTCATTCGTCCCATCACAGCGGGTGCATTTATTGAAAGTCTTGTAACTCCTCAACGGTTCGTCTGATTTAAATGCAATATTCGACAAATTTGTTCAAAATTAAATTATCTACGATATTGCCTAATGTTATATAACCCTTCAGCATCGCGGTATACTCTAAAAATAGAAATTGATTTTGTAAAATTCTTCTTGGTGCTATATTCATATAGAAGTCGTCGAGACCTTTCAAATGATACCCGCGAAACGTTTCGATCTTTCATTCGACCCATCGCACTGAGTAAAAATAAAACTATATTTAATATAAAGTTATTAATTATCTTTGTATTTTTTTTTCATTTGCAGTGTGCTGTGATGAACCTTTGTACGCCCATTGGCATAGCCATGCAATTTTAAACGACACAGTTTTGAGGGACACAGATTTTCTTTCCCAAAATTGTGTCATGGACTACAGTCTTCTGGTTGGGTTGAACCAGGATAACAATACTCTGGTTGTTGGCATAATAGGTAATAAAAATAAAAATAAAAACAAAAGTTTTTCTGCACCATCTTAGTCAGATAATAAAGAATTTCTTTGAGAAATGTCTACCTATGCACAAAATTTGATCTGATTCAAAAGTGTTTTGAGGACGCACCGTTTGTTTTACAGTCTTGTTATTTGCATACATTATTCTCCAATATGTCTACTATCATAACAAATACTTAAACTGTGAACTTTTCTCAATAAATCAAATCGACAACTGCATCATCGAAGATTCTGTTATCGAACATTCCCCCTACCTTGTTTTTATGTAAAATACGCCTGATCGCGCGGCAAATTGATAAACATTTCTATACAGTATGTTTGTATTTATTAAATTAATTTATTATTATAGCATTAAAAAATACTATTAAGCAAAAGCAAAATGACGCATTTTTTTTCGAAAACATTTGACTATTATTAATGTATTGTTTTTTTTTTATTTCACAGATTATATACGTACTTTTACATGGGATAAAAAATTAGAAACAATCGTTAAGAAAACTGTTACTTTAGGTCAACAAGGCAAATTGCCGACAGTTCTATCGCCTGATGAATATAGAAAGAGATTTTGTCAAGCTATGGACAGGTAAATTTATTTGTATTATTTTAAATAATTAGGGTGTAAAGTTGCTTAAGTCGTACCCAACAAAAAAAACTAGTATTAGATACTATGAACCAAAAAAAAAATAGTAATAATAAATAATGAATGAATATATTTCAGTAAATATAAATGTGTACATACTATTTTTTACTTTGGATTTTTTACCCGTAGGTATATTATCCATCCTATTGGTACAAAAAATAATACTAAATGCTATAATATAAATTAAAAGAAAAGTTTTAGCGTTTATTGAAATTTTATTTAGTTGATTCAATATAAATAATTACTAATGCCATCTATGGACTTCGAGCAAAGTTTTCATGTAACTTTAGTTTTTTCTTTAGAATGTGTGATTATTTATATGTTAATTTAAACTAATTCATAAATTCGTGAAGAAATCATATAAAGTATTTTACATCGTTAGAAAGGTCTTAATATCCTTAGTTTTTCTTCCATATATTGCAACTTTGTATTTCGCACGGTTTGGCCTACAGGCGAGTTGCCTGTATGCCTGTAATGCACTGAAGACGTCCTGAAATTCAAAGAAAACTAGGAAATCTCGTGTAACTTATATGAACACACATAATGATTTATATATCAATTTATTCGTAATTTTATTCTGCATTTTTCGTACGAACAAAGTTTTTTCGTATCTTTTACGATTTGGCTTGTAGAAGGCAATTTGTGTGAATATTCACTTGTTGAAATGCAAAGTGCGCATAGATTCTAGCAAATATTCACACTATTCGGTATTTCTTCAAAGAAACTATATAAAGTGTTATACATCGTTAGAAAGGTGTAAAAATTCTTAGTTTTTCCTTCATATATCGCAACTTTGTATTTCGCACGGTTTGGCCTACAGGCGAGTTGCTGTGCTGCAATTCAAGGAAAATCTGAAGAAAATTATATGAACACACATATAGAATTAAATGTCGTTTTATTCGTGATTTTATTACAAATATTTTTCTCGTACATCATTTAGGGATGAGTTTTAGAGTTTAGGATAAAAATTAGGTGGTCCTTAATATGGACATTTTCGAATTTCTTTGCTCCCAAGGGCTCAAATATTTTCAAATTAATAAACAAAAATTTTGTAAAAGTTTTAGGTCTTAATATTAAAAATTAGATAGTCCGCAATTCATTAAAAGTGTCGGATATTTATTTTCTGAATTGCGGACTGTCTAAATGTTAATATTAAGAGCTAAAACTTTCAGAGAATTTTCTTTTATTACTTTGGAAGCTTTTGAGCCCTTGGGAGCAGAAAAATTATCCATATTAAGGACCACCTTAATAATTTACAATATATATATTTTTTTTCAGATATTTCGTTTCCGTTCCAAGTCGCTGGGACAGCCTAGCCCGTCGTTTCCAAGACGAAAATTCCAACAGTGATAAATAGTGATAAAATAAACTAATATAAATAATATATTAAATAAATTATTTTAATAAATCAATTAATATATTACACACACGAAGCATTCTCAAAGTAACGTACCAAATGATAATTTTGTTCCTTAACAAATGTTTTTTAAACATTTGTGTGATCGAGTATTAATAAATTGTAATAATAATAGGTTGATGTTTATCAATTTTGATATGAATATTTTAATAAATTTTAAAAAATTAAATATATAATAATTTAATATATAATAAGTGTTTAGGTGCAGTTGAAGTATTTTACCTTAAGACAAGTTAAGAATGGATTCAGCAATTCAGGTAAAATGTTAAAAAGTTATTTCGTAAATTAATTTTATTTTCACTAATATATATATATATATATATATATATATATATATATATATATATTAGGGTGGTCCTTAAAAAGGTCATTTTCGAATTTCCTTGCTCCCAGGGGCTCAAATGGTTCCAAATAGATAAAAAACAATTCTCTGAAAGTTTTAGCTCTTAATATTAACGTTTAGATAGAGCGCAATTCAATCAAAGTTTTGTATGGAAATAGCATGAAAAAATTTTCAAAAATTTAAAAAATGATTTTTAGATGTAATTTACTGAACAAATGAATGAATAAAACTCATTCATTTGTCGCTAAGTTATACCTAAAACATTTTTTTAAATTTTAAAATTTTTTACTATGCTCTTTCCATACAAACTTTGATTGAATTGCGCTCTATCTAAACGTTAATATTAAGAGCTAAAACTTTCAGAGAATTGTTTTTTATCTATTTGGAACCATTTGAGCCCCTGGGAGCAAGGAAATTCGAAAATGATCTTTTTAAGGACCACCCTAATATATATATGACTTCCAATTGATCTCACATATACTTTTTCCAAATTCGGTCTCATTCGATTCAGAATGACTTGAAACGTGAGGAAAACATAAAATTAGCAAATCGGATTTTTTGGCGAAAACATAATTTTTTCTAATACTCTCATTAATTTAAATAGCTTAATAAATATTTTTTGGATTAATTTAAAATTTAATATGCTGTTAAGAAAATGGGTTGGACATTTTTTTTTGATTGTAGTAATAATATAGAAGACTATACTAGGGAAGAAACAAATACTGGAAATTGAATAAATTGATGAAAAAATACAAGAAGACATAAACAGAAGGCAGAAGTTAGAGAAGTAAATTGTAACGAAAAAAATGATTTTAGGCAGATCGCTAACGAGAATAAGGTATCCTTTTTAATTATAAATTAGGGTGGTCCTTAATATGGACATTTTCGAATTGCTTCGCTCCCAAGGGCTCAAATGCTTCCAAAATATTTTAAAAAAATCCTCTAAAAGTTTAAGCTCTTCATATTAACATTTAGATAGTGCGCAATTCGATTAAAAGCTTCGTATATTTATTAATAACATATGTCATTAAGTAAATTTATGCGCCATCTGTGATAGCAGACTTGTAACTTTGATGGCAATTTATTACTGATAATTTAAGCGTCAAGATCGCCAATTAAATAAATATTTTGCTGCAAAATTAATTTTGATGCCATGATGAATGAATATTTTGTTAAAAAGTTCACACGGATTTAATTAGAGGTTAAGTGAATTATAACTATTTTTAAGTGCCATTATTTGAGTTCAGAGATGCTATCACAGATGGCGCAAGAATTTACTTAATAATAAATATACGAAACTTTTAAGTGAATTGCGGACTATCTGAATGTTAATACTAAAAGCTAAAAGTTTTAGAGAGTATTTTTTTATTAATTTGGAAGCATTTGAGCCCTTGGGAGCACATAAATTCGAAAATGTCCATATTAACGACCACCCTAATTCACTAACTCACATTTTTCTTTATAACAAACATTCTAATAATTTTTTTTAACTTCCCGTAGGGTAAGTTATAGTAATCGCAAAAAAATCGAAAATGAAAATTTTTATATATCTTTACGTTTCAGAGGTTTCTGAACATTTTGGCATGCCTTAGAAAAAATGGATGTATGTGTGTGTGTGTGTGTGTGTGTGTGCGTGTGTGTATGTATGTGCGGATACAAATTTTCGTCGAGGATTTCGGGAACACGGATCAACCGATTTGAATAATTCAAAAAACATTCGATTCGTATTGATAAGGAGACGTGCTGATTAGTTTTTGGCAAAGGCAGGTCTAGCCGTTCCGGAGATACGGGGCAAAAAGTGCCGAAAACGGTAACTCAGTTTTTAAGAGAACGGAGCGTCCGATTTTAATAATTCAAAAAACATTTTACTTGTATTGACAAGATAAAGAATTGATCAAATTTTCATAAAGGCAGGTCTAGCGGTTTCAGAGATCTAACGAAAAAAGTGAAAAAAATGCCATTTGACGGTCAAAAATGATCATTAGACATATGCACATCAAATTTTCAGATATTTTATAGAGATTTTGACAATAAGTATAAATTTTGTTTATTTTTCTATGGGTTCCGTATCAATGTTCACCCGTTAGACAGTGACGCCGCGCTTACGCGCTTTATATTTTGTCTCTATGCAGTTAAAGCAGTACGATTGCTTTGAAAAACACGTTCAGAATTTCCAAAATATTTCAAAATAAAGAAAACTTTTTTTTTTCAAAAAAAAAAAATGTAAAAAAATTTTTTTTAAAAAAAATTTTTTTTAAAAAAATTTTTTTTTTAAAAAAAAGTAATTTTTTGTTCAATTTATAGTTTATCAAAAATCTTATTTTTTTGAAGTAAATTTTTTTCAAAAATGTTAATCGTTTTTAAAAAAAATAATAATTTTTGGTACGGGAAGTTCCAGCAATTTGCCTTAAGGCACGATGCCCTAATTGCCTTAAGACAGAATTCCACTTACAGCTAGTTTTTTTAATTTTTAGGATAAATATAATTATCAAATTCATCTCCAGGTTAGTCTATTAAATTTTATGAAGAAAATTGTATAAAATAAAGTTGGTCCTTAATATGGATATTTTCGAATTTTTTTTGCTCCCAGGGACAAAAATGTTTCGAAATTGATACAAAAAAAAAATCTCTTTTGGCGAAGGCAGGTCTAGCCGTTCCGAAGATACGGGGCAAAAAGTGTCAAAAACAGTGATTCAGTTTTTAAGAGAACGGAGCGTCCGATTTTTAACATAATAATTCAAAAAATATTTTACTTGTATTGACATGATGAAGAACTGATCAAATTTTCATGAAGGCAGGTCTAGCGGTTTCGGAGATCTAGTGAAAAAAGTAAAAAAAAACTGCCATTTAGCGGTCAAAACTGATCATTAGACATATGCACATCAAATTATCAGATATTTTATAGAGATTTTAACAATAAGTATATATTTTTTTTACATTCCTATGGGTTCCGTACCAATGCTTATCCGTTAGACGGCGGCGCGGCGCTTACGCGCTTCGATATTTCGTCTCTATGCAGTTGAAGCTGTACGATTGTTTTGAAATAATGTTGAATTTCCAAAATATTTCTTACTTCTTTTTCTATTTTTTTTTTCAAAAAAAAAGGAAATTTTTGTCAAAAATTTATGGTTTCTCAAAAATCTATTTTTTTCAAAAATGTTAATCTTTAAAAAAAAAAATAATTTTTGGTACGGGAAGTTCCAGCAATTTGCCTTAAGGCACGATGCCATGCGCCTCACTAGTTTTTTTATTATTTTGGAAGCATTCGAACCTTTGGGAGCAAAGATATTCGAAATGTACATATTAAGGACCACTCATATATATACATATATATATATATATATATATATATATATATATAATATATATATATATATATATATATTATATATATATATATATATATATATATATATGTTTAATTTGAGTTTAATATTCGGGCGTAACATCAATAAAAATAGTATGAGTTTTTTTTTTTAATTTATTTATTTAAAATCCATATGGATTTTAAATAAAT